TCCAACTTCTGACATTATGATTTACTTTGGCAACAATTTATGAGATCCAAATTGAACTTTATCGCATGGTTTGAGAATTGCGATATATAAGTATGTTATTTTTCTCACAATAATTTTGCTAATTAATTCACTTCCGCGTTTTCATTGACTTGTCTTATTCAGAGTTTTGTCACAATTGCACAGAGATCGTTTGAACAACATTCCCTCCCCTTCATTAGACATTCACAATGGCTTGCATATCAGCGCTTTGTTTCATGTAGTTTACTAGTGTAAGTTTTATTCGTGACAGAATACAGGCGTGTACAACGCACTTACCACATTGATTTATTTTTCAATTACCACCGCACATATATATTCAATTTGTTTCGACTTTCTGAGTATTTTATTTGAAACGAAGAACTAGGAACTCTTAAATAATGCATGGTAACAGGGTTCGAACGAGTATGCTTGCCTAAATAGGCGTGATTGATTCTTCTATAGCGTTGCGCACATTTGTCCCGTTATCATACATACGGACTTTTATTCCCTGAACGCATCATTTAGTTGTTCAGGGAAAGGCGCACAAGAAATATTTGTTACGTTTTCTAATTGAGCTATAGCTATATGCATACATACCAAGCTCATGCATACCCCTTCCACACTCTGACCACATCGTACTCTCATCGTACCAATGAAATTAAATACAAATTTCTGAAATGCTATCATTATAATGCACTGGGGTATAATTTTTTTTTTTCAGTACATACCATTCCTCTTTATGGTTGGAATCACCACCACTGCAGTCATATTGTACAGTGATGCCGTGGCGAGAGAAATTGATGTGTCCTCTACGATAGCGATGGCACCGCAACATGCATTTTTTGAGGAAAACTACACACAACCAGCGAAAACTATTGTGTTTTTCAAAACACACAAAACAGCAAGTACATCATTACATTGCATAATGTGTCGCTATGGTTACACAAATCAACTTTCGCTCATATTTTCGAGGTATAACAATATAAATGGTCATTTGAGGAACACTATTCCCAATCCATCATGGTTCCTGCCGCCGATTAGAAATACTAGCAATTCTGCAGGGAAATACAACATACTGACTGGACACGTGACTTATTATAGAAGTCTAATTGGTTCATTCATGGAGGGCATTCCTAAATACATCACTATTTTACGAGAACCAGCTGCACAAATAGAATCGCACATGAACTTTTTCAATCTTCGTAAGCGAGTAATGAAGGACATTAAATTGTTTACTAAAGATCCCTTCAAATTTGAAAATGGTGGCAAAGCAGCAAGTCGCAATAATCAGATTTCGGATTTGGGTTTAAAGCGCAGTAAAACGTCTAATGAAGCTACAATAAACGCAACAATTCTAAAACTTGATAAAGAATTCGATCTCGTACTAATTGCCGAGTATTTTGACGAATCTCTTTTGCTGTTAAAACGTATTCTACGTTGGAGTTTTGACGACATACTGTACTTGGTAAAAAATCAACGAATGCATCGTGAGACTATTACACATGAATTTCGTCAACAAATTTACCAGTGGTCGAGAGCTGATGTCTTGTTATACCAATATTTTAATGAAACGCTATGGAGACGAGTTCAGCAGTATGGTCCACAGTTTGAGGATGATTTGGTTTACTTCGGGGCGCTACCTTCATGAGATTAATCGTCGGTGTGGTACGTCGGAAACGGTATTTGAAAGATCCGATAAATTAAAAAAAATAGAATACATAAGTAAAAATGATTCAATATTTTGCCAGCATTTGGCTTACTCCAGTACAGATTGGTATAATCACATAGCAGCTCGACAAAATCCAAGCGGAACAACAACACATTTAACACAGTATTTAATGCATTTAATGTCTCAATTAATTGTTTAAATATGAAAGCAAACAAATATGAAATCCAAAATAAAAATATAAAAAGCAATAGACATAGACTTTGTTGATAACATTGACATGTTACGTTATGTGTGATTGCTTATCATTATCTAGCATGTTACAGCAATGAGATGAAGACAGCAAACATCAAATTCAAAACTGACAAAACTAGAACAGATATATTTATACAAGTAAAACAAATGAAACGAATATATTCTTAAAAATACGTGGGCGGAAATGCACGAGCACATTCCCATGAAATTAAACGAATTTTGCCAATGTACGCCTACTGGTCGGAGCTTGATGAAATATATTCATTCAGTTTATCAAAAGTTTGTGGTGAACATGGACCGTATATGACAGCGTTACTTAAATACATTATTGCCTTTCCGTTAGTAACGTATACAAAGACTGGCAACATTTGATACTCACTCCATATCTACTGTGCAAGGGTAACTAACGACGCATAGTAAAAAGTCAACAGATATTTGAACTCAATACTAGTGTTTGACCTACATGGCTTAACATTTGTCTACATGTTTGTTGAGGCTAGGAATCTCAGGTCAAAAGTGTACTAGCTTATAAATTATAAATGAGGACTGAATTTTATCGTGTCCGTCGCAAAAATTCTTCAAATTTAAACATTTGTTCATGTACTTCACTTTTCTGTGTTATTGTTAATTTCTGCACTTTTACCCAGGAAGGACAGACCCATAAATTTTGTTTTCAAAGTTTTTTGTTCATATGCTGTTTCTACTGAGTAGCCCAGTCCTAATGTATTGCCAATCTACACAACAAATATAAGTCAAAATACACGAAGCTGTAACAAGGAAACGTTTTAAACCTAAGCAACTTGTTAACAATCGTGGAATATACATATATACAAGGCAATTTATGTTTTGTAGGTAATGA